GGCTTGTTTTTTAGTTTGATAAATTTGTATTAACAAAGAGTGGCATGTATGCTAGTAAGAGATACATGAGTGATGGTCTCTTCGAACTAAATGTAATGACAGTTGTACCAAAAGTTACTATTAATAAGAAGAACACATTTTTTTGCTTATATTCTTGAGTCGAATTTATGGCATGGTAGATTAGGACATGTAAATTATGATGCTTTGCGTAGATTAATTGGTTTGGATTATATACCAAAGTTTGAAATTAATCCTAATCATAAATGTGAAGTTTGTGTAGAAGCGAAACTAACTAAGGCTCCATTTAAATTGGTTGAAAGGAAAACCGAACCTCTAGAATTAATCCATACAGATGTATGTGATCTTAAATTTGTTCAAACTAAAGAAGGCAAAAAGTATTTCATAACATTTATTGATGATTGCACAAGATATTGTTATGTTTATTTACTTAGAAGTAAAGATGAAGCCTTAGAAATGTTTAAACTCTACAAAACAGATGTTAAAAATCAACTTGGTAAAACCATTAAAATGATTAGAAGTGATAGGGGTGGTGAATATGATGCACCATTAAATGAATTTTGTGCACAACATGACATTATTCACCAAACTACAGCATCCTATTCTCCTCGGCAAAATGGAATTGCTGAAAGGAAGAATAGAACCATAAAAGAAATGATGAATGCCATGTTACTTAGTTTAGGCTTACCACAGAACTTATGGGGGGAAGCAATATTATCTGCTAATTATGCTCTTAACAGAATACCCCACAAGAAAATCAACAGCACTTCTTATGAATTGTGGAAATGACGACCACCTTCTTACAAATACTTAAAAGTGTGGAGGTGTTTGGCAAAAGTTGAAGATCTGTTCCTAAAAAGACTAAGATTGGAGCAAAAACAGTAGATTGTGTGTTTATTGGTTATACTCAGAATAGTAGTGCATATCGGTTTTTGACCTATAAATAAAAAATACATAATATAAATGTAAACACTATTATAGAGTTAAGGAATGCTGTGTTTTTTGAACATGTCTTTCCTTACAAGAAAGGACAAGAATTAAGTTCACAGAAAATAACTTATGATTGTACACAAAGTCAAGAGACTAATGACAATCAAACACAAGAGACTAGTAATGGTCTCGACCAACGGGATTTAACTGATGATGAACCAAGACGAAGTAAGAGAGTAAGAACATCAAAATCCTTTGGTCTAGATTTTCTGACATACCTGTTAGAAAATGAACCTCAAAGCTTTAAGGAAGCAATGACAGGTCCTGAAGCTCCTTTGTGGAACGAGGCTGTTAATAATGAAATTGAATCCATTATACAAAATCATACTTGGGAATTGGTGGATTTTCCACCAGGTTCAAAACCTGTTGGATATAAATAGATATTCAAGAGAAAAATGAAAGTAGATGGTTCAATTGACAAGTATAAAGCAAGAGTTGTAATTAAAGGTTATAGACAAAAAGAAGGTCTGAACTATTTTGACACATATTCCCCTGTGATAAGAATAACATCCATTCGCATGCTTATTGCTATAGCAGCGTTGTTTAATTTAGAAATACATTAAATGGATGTTAAGACAACTTTCTTAAACGGTGATCTAAATGAAGAGATCTATATGGAGCAACCCAAAGGGTTTGTAGTACCGAGGCAAAAAAAGAAAGTTTGTCGGCTTGTAAAATCTCTTTATGGATTAAAACAAGCAACTAAGCAATGTCATGAAAATTTTGATCACGCAATGCTTACTAATGGGTTTAAGATAAATGAATGTGACAAATGCGTCTATGTTAAAAACACTGACCAATGATATGTCATAGTTTGTCTTTATGTGGATGACATGCTTATCATTGTAAGCAGTCAAAACATGATCAAATCAACTAAGCAAATGCTTAACAAAAGATTTGATATGAAAGATATGGGGGTCGCAGATGTTATATTAGGAATGAAAATTACTAAAACATCTGACGGATATGCATTATCTCAATCACATTATATTGAGTAAATTCTTGATAAATTTATCAAATATGATATGAATTTAGCTAAAACACCTGTAGACATTAGTCATTATTTATCGAAAAATAAAGGTGATGCGGTGTCTCAGTTAAAATACTCCAAAATCATTGAAAGTCTAATGTACCTAATGAATTGTACTCGTCCTGACATAGCTTATGTAGTCAGTAAATTGAGTTGGTACACTAGTAACCCTGGAGAAGACCATTAGAAGGCGATCATTCGGGTTTTTAGATATCTAAGATTTACTCGTGATCATGGTTTGAACTTTACTCGATATCCAGCAGTACTCAAAGGTTATTGTGATGCCAATTGGATATCAGATACTAAAGATTCAAAATCCATTAGTAGATATATCTTTACTCTAAAAGACGCTGCTGTTTCTTGGAAATCCATAAAACAAACATGCATTGCACGATCCATAATGGAATCCAAGTTCATTGCTTTAGACCAAGCAGGAGAAGAAGCAGAATCACTTCTTAGAAGACATTCCAATGTGGCTTAAACCTGTGCTAGCTATTTGCATTCATTGTGATAGTCAATCTGCAATAGGTAGGGCACATAATCATATGTATAATAGTAAGTCACGACATATTCGTCGTCAATATAATACCGTAAGGCAATTGCTCTCAAATGGAATAATCTCAATAGACTATATAAAATCTAAAGATAATATTGCGGATCCGTTAACAAAAGGTTTGACAAAAGAGCAAGTGTATAGTTCATCGAAGGGGATGAGATTAGAGCCTATTATATAAGAGTCATCATAATGGTAACCCTACTTATATGACTGGAGATTCTAAGAAATAAGTTCAAATGGACAACTAAGTTATGTGTGGCTTGCCAAAAATCACCAAGGGATTAAAATTTCTTACTCATACCTATGGTGAGAGTGATATCTGCAACATGTGTTGCCTGCAGGGGTATAAGGATAAGCTTTGCTTTTAATGATTACTTATATCTTGATTAAGGCGTAATATCAAGACGAGTATAAGGAAATACTCACAATAAGAATCACCTATATGAGTGTTGAACTGTTGCCGATTCTATGAGAATGAAGAGACTAAATTCTCTAGAAGCACTTATGAAAACCAGGAGCGTTCAAGGCCAAAATGAACACAACAGTGAGAACCACGATGTGCTAGAAGATATTTTGTGTGAAATCCACGTAAAGTGTGGTCTATACTTGAGATGTGCCTCGAACTCCAACAAACTCGTGCCCTGTCTCGACTTTCTCAATCAGAATTTGATAAGCAATCCCAATCGGCCGCCAACACGTGAGTGCGGTAGGCAGCTCTGGTCAATGAATAGTTTGCTCAACAGGGGGAGCCCGTTAGTATGGGCCCTTGTCGCCCGAGTTGCCTCGCCTGCCATAAGATCCCCTGTTCCTTCGCTGCACGAGCGCCTGTCAAAGAAGGCATAAGGTGGATCTGAATAAATGTCGAGTAATCGCCCTCGTCTCTGAAAAAATTAGTGTCTAGGCCTACCATGAACTGAATGACTGCATCAACTGATAGGCTATCTGCTGTCCTCATAGACGCCGGGGGTGGCATTAGAATGACTGGATTAGGCAGGCCCATAGTCTAGCGAACGAATCTATTGCTCAAAAACAAGGCCTAGCAGACTGGGCCCTCTAGTAGAATATGGAAGCACGATGTGCCCCAAGCTCTCGCGTACTGATCTCTAACCCCGGTCGGCATCATGGCCCAGGGTTGCTACGCGATTTGCAAACAGGGAATGTACAGATTGTTAGTTGCTGTTAGTTGCTAAAGTGTGAATCAAAATAATGGTAAAGCAAAAATGACTGAGTTTCAGGTTACCTTATCGGCGACCATTGTATTGAAGTAGCGGCAGAAGAAAGCGAAGGTAGTATCATCACGGTTTCGGCTTTGGCTTCGGCTTCGGCGCTGGCACCGGCCATCATACCGTTGCGAGTAAGGGACAACATGAGGGATCTCCTTCACAGGCCCTAGAGCAAGGGCCAAAAAATATGGGTAAACCCATAATTGCAAGGAAAGGGAAACAGTGTTATCAATAGTGTCAACAGATATAGAAAATGCAACACATATAGAAAGTGCAACAGATATAAAGAGTGTACAGTGTCAACAGATATAGAAAGTGCAACAAATATAGAGAGTGTATAATGTCATCAGATATAGAAAGTGCAACAGACATAGAAATGAAGAACATTGTTTCAATCAAGTGTTCTTGGTGCAAATTATTCCATTTTCATTTTTCATGCAAATATGGTGCTCATGATGCAAAAATGATAACACTTTTTCGTAAAACCTGCGAGGTTTTATTCCGATAATGGTTTTTACAAAAGAGGAGTACAAGTTTCAAAAGCAAATATAAAAACTATCTAAAGCTATACATGTGCTAATGCTACCAAGAAATAAAAGAAACTAAGCAAAATGTACAAAAAAATCGGCGCTAGTCATCTCAAGCTCAAGAGGCCCTTTTCGTCCTCTTCCTTAGAGGGGACTTGGGGGCACTGTCTCCATCAGCACCGCTGTCAGAATCAAACTTTGAACCAGAGCCTGTATCATCTTCGCTCCCTGCTCAGAGCTCGCCGTAGCATCATCTTCTCCCGGACCCAGAGCCAACGTCATCATCTTTGCTCTTAGATACCTCAGAATGTTGACTCGCTGCCTCTTCGGAGTTGCTAGTCTTAGTATCATCGTGGCTCAAAACAGGCTTTGAAGGACTGCTTCGACCTCGAGCACCCCTATCCCTACCTCGACCGTGGCGCACATCTCGGCCATGAGTTGGGGCCTGCCTCTCTCTCCTCCCTGCTATTGGAGGAGGTGGTGCCAGTGCTAGTGCTGCTGCGGCCATTGGTGCCCTTGGCCGCTTCTTTCTCCTTTTTATTAAATCTCTTTCGATGGTTAGATTAGGGATCATTTTCAATTAGCATACCTTATGCTCGCATGTTTGCATCCATTCATTTTTCTTGCATGCACTGAGACTCGGCGCATCATTCAAACTACATTGTAATTTCAGTATTTCTTTGAATATGTGTTTCAAAGCATGCTATCAAAGTGTTTCCCACCTCCCGAGCTTTCACCACTAACCGTGATTGACCCTCCTCTCTATTCCTAGTAAGAACTTCTGCAAACGTTCTCATCATTCCTCTGTTATTTTGTACATTTCCACCCACAAAATCAGTGTTTTGTTTAGTTGTTTTTGTTGCACCAATAGTATTCGGATTCACCACTCTGCTTTTATCACTGTTAAAATCCGCTTCCTTAACCTTTAGAGCTCTGTCCTCCACCCACAGTCCATTCGCTCTTTGGATTGCCACATTGGAAGCTACTCTGCAGTCATACCTCACAAAACCAAACCTTGTACTAGAAATCCTTCGCCTTTTGTTTGGAATGAATACATCCCTTACAACTCCAAAGTTATTGAACAAACTGAAGAGGCCTTTTGGATCAATGGAGTCAGGTAGGTTATCTACAAAAACTGTGATCCATCTGTCTCTACCTCCATGCATCCTGCCAATGACTCGGTTTCTTTGCTTGACCACCGGTTTCCATCCTCCATTTCCATCCTCCATTAACATCTGTTTTGCTCCACTTTTGCTAACAACGTAGAGATGTCACGTGTTTATCTCCTACTGGACCTTATCTCTAGTCCTGTTTTAACTTTGATATAAGCAATCTAATTGTTATTTTCTTGACTTTCACCTATGTAGATAAGAATTGCCTATTTAACTATTGTAGGCTACCAAAAAAAAAATTTATAGAATCTTTTACGCTGTGTTTGGTTGGGGGATTCGGGAAAGAATTTGGAAAATGAAAAGAAAAAAATGTGTGAAACTAAGTGAAATGTAAGTATATTTTATTCACATTTCACCTACCTTTACATTTTCTTTTTTCCTTTCTAAATCCTCCAACCAAACACAGCGTTAGTAAAATCAACAATGTAAACACTTTTTTGTTAAATATTCAACTATTTTTATGTTTACTGCAAAAATCACAATTTCCTTAGTTAAGGACACATATGCAAAGCATTTGCAAAAGCTTCATCTCTTTTGTGATATGAATTTTGTATGTATACTATGTTTTCATCTATTAGTTGTGAATTTTGATTTTGTATGTAGTGAAATTACATCCGTGAAATTTCAGTGACCTTTAAGTTGTGAATTTGCCTAGTGAAATTTCACCAAGCTACATAGACCACTAACACTTTTATTTGGGAAAAGTAACTTTACTACTAAAATTTGAATCCAAATCTTGGAATTTGGCTAACATAATCTTCTCATCTGAGTGCAATAAACCTTAAATGCCCATTCATATTACAAAAGTATATATAGAACCTCATAAAATTCATGCCAAAGCAAGTCAAACTTCAATTCATTCACAACTATATGAAAATTATGCTTTTAAAGTGCTTATAAAATAATGCATTAGAGAAAAAAAAAATACATTAATTTTATAATGGCAAAAGCTAACAAGTGCCCTAGGGGCATTGTTTAATATTGAGAAATGTAAAAAGTGTCTTGAAAATATGTAAAAATGTTAAAAATTGTATTGATTTCAAAAAGTGCACTAAATTTAGTGAAAAATGTCTTTTTTTTTTTTTTTTTTTGTCTTTTACTTTAAAAAAGCCTTTGTTTAGGATTGGTATTTAGATTTAAAAAAAATGTCTTGCAAATAGGTGAAATAGTTAAAATGTGCATTGAATTCAACAAAAAGTGTCTCGTGTTTTTAAACTAATGAATTGACAACATCTATAAATTAGATTTATTGTATTTTTTCCAATTTTCATGAGAGACCAGTGTAATTACCCCAATAAACTAATCAATTCACAACATTTAAAAACTTGACATTGATGATGTAAAATAGAAACAAATATGAGAGAAATAAACTCACCATTTTCAAAGCAAGGATTTGGAGCAAATCTAAATGAGTTGCTATAAAACAAACATAGTTTTACAAACACAAACAAACAAGTATTATAATCAGACAAACAACAACAACAACAACAACAACAACAACAATAAAAATAATAGTTCTAGATCCAACTGTTGATGTGTTGAAAAAAAATTACAAAAAAACACAACCTGTATATATAGGCAGATCTATATATGTATCAAAGGATGGAAATTCAAAATTTGGGGTTGTCGATTTCCTCAACATCTTCGTCTACAGCTTTGATTGATGGGTTTGTTGATTTGGGTTTCTGAATTTGGGTTCGGATTGAATTTGGCTAGTTGTTGGCTGAGTGAGTCAGTAGTGTCTACAGAGAGAGAGGAGAGGGAGGTTACGAACGATTATACAAAATGCAATCACTCTGCTGGTTTTTTTTTTTTAAATGGTTTTCAACTTTTTAATTAGTATTTTTTTATTTTAATAAACATTTTAATATTTTAATTAAAAATTGGGTTATTTACCAATAAATCCTACTTTACAAATTGTTATACCAAATAGTCCCACTTTTATTCTATTATACCAAATAGTCCTACTGGTGGGTTGATTTGGTCCTTTTTGATTTTTTTTTTTCATTTTTGTTTCACTGTGTGGACGAGAGTGCCCTTGGTTTAACGGGGCACTGTTTTGCTGGATCAAACGTTGCTCATTCCGTGTGTATTGTGTGCGTTGTGTGTGTGTATCAGTGTGTGGATGTGTGTTGAAGCCATCAGTGTGTGTGTGTGTGTGTGCGTGTATCAGTGTGTGTGTGTGCGTTGTTTGTGTGTATCAGTGTGTGTGGGTGTGTGTTGAAGCCATCAGTGTGTGTGTGTGCGTGTATCAATGTGTGTGTGTGTGTGCGTGTATCAGTGCGTGCATCAGTGTGTGTGTGCGTGTGGGTCTCCATGAGAGAGATGTGTTGCAGAATGGGTCTATCAGTGCGTGTATCAGTGTGTGTGTGTGTGGGTCTCCATGAGAGAGATGTGTTGCAGAATGGGTCTCCATGAGAGGGCTCGATCAAGCGGTCATCAATTCGTACCCTAGGTTTCCATTCTCGAAGGATCGAGGCGGTGGAATCAACGATTCGATGTCTGCTTGTGTCAGTATAAAGATGCTGAGATGCTGAGAGAGATGAGTGAGTGTGTTGCAGAATGGGTCTCCATGTGAGTGTGTTGCAGAATGGGTGTGTTGCAGAATGGGTCTCCATGAGAGAGATGAGTGAGGCGGTGGGTCTCCATGAGAGAGATGTGTTGCAGAATGGGTCTCCATAAGAGGGCTCGATCAAGCGGTCATCAATTCGTACCCTCGATTTCCATTCTCGAAGGATCGAGGCGGTGGAATCAACGATCCGATGTGTTTGATCTGCTTGTGTGAGTATAAAGATGCTGAGATGCTGAGGCTGCTGCTGGGTGTGTGCGTTAATGGTGTCTTCTGCAACACGCGGCACATGTGAGAGAGAGAGAATGCTGAGAGAGATGAGTGAGTGTGTTGCAGAGTGAGTTAACCCCCAAACACACTAACCCAGCCCAAGAAAAACCCCTTACAGCGGATTGGTATTTTGTGACACCCTCACAATGTATCACTTGCAACACGCGGCACATCGATTCACTAATCACGCACGTGATCCACACACGTGATCCCAATTTTGAAGCCCCGCAGCCGCATCAATAACGGTTATATGAGGGTAATTACGTCCCTCACAATTGAATGGGACTAAACGGTTTAATAGAATAAAAATGGGACTAATTGGTTCATAAGTTTAAATTTTAGGATTTATTGGTAAATCTCCCCAAAAAAATTACTTAAAAACAATTAATTGAAAAAAAATCATTTTTTATTTGAGTATTTTAAAAATAGTTTGATTATGACTGTTGATCAAAAATATGGATATCGAGTTATGAGTTGTATGTTTGATTATCAATTATAGGTTGAATTAAGTTTTGAAAACTCATCACCAAACAAATTTTCTTATTTCACATGTCACATCAAACTTTCAAAACTCAATTTCACATACAATTCAAAATTCAATTCAAAACCATAACCAAACACATTTTCTACATTCAAATCATAATTCCACAACTCACAAAATTAAAACACAACTCATACTCTCAAATCATATTTATAAATCTCTACCAAACGCAATCATAGTTTTTTCTTTCTTTCTTTCTTTAATTTTTAAAATTTTTAAATTAAAAATCAGCACACATAATTAAGAATCATTATAAACATATAAAAGTGTAACTCTTTTGTATAACAAAACCCAACAAAAATTACACACTATTTCACTTCTGATTAAAATGATTCAGTTTGTTTGTTTTCATTTTTTAGAAAACGCTTTTCAGAAAATTTTACTTTCTTATTTTTCGTATATTTTTATTTTTACTGAATTTTTTAAATATGTTAAGTAATTTTTTTACTTTTTAGACACACCTAACATAAATACACCTAAAAAGTAAAAAAATTGTAAAAAAAATCTTTTAAAAATTCACTAAATATCAAAAATACAAAAAAAAAATACAAGAATTCAGTACATTTTTTATATTCTATGTATTTATTAATTTTTTAAAATATTTTTTCACAAATTTTTTACTTTTTAGATACATCTAACTAAGGTGCATCTAAAAAAGTAAAAAAAATGTTTAAAATTTAAAAAATATTCACTAAAAATAAAAGAATACGAAAACCAAAAAATTCAATTTTCAAAAAACTTATTCCAGAAAACTCAATCCAAACACACTGATTAATTTTCTTTTTCTATTTCCTCCAGAATTGTTAAATCTTAATATTATTATATAAAATCAACAAAACAATTATGGGTGAGTGATTATATTTAGGGCTGGTTTGGCAACCCTTAAAAAAGTCAAAAAGTTATCAAAAAAGTTAAAAAGTTATCACTATTCACAAAAAAAAATATTAAAAAAATAATATACAAATATTAATTTAAATGGTAAATTAATATAAAAGTTTAACCTGACCAACCCATCAATGTACGGACACGTCAGCCACCTGCAATGAAAGGAAAAACAAAAAATAATAACATGTGTACATTCACTTATTTACATGGTAAAGTTGGGCCTGTAGGGGCCCACCATGGGTCTCGTTTTGATAATCCGAACCGTTCAATATGTAGAACTCGTATAGTACTATATGTCTGTAAAAAATCACATCTATGGATATCACTAACTATATGATCAAATCAGTTTTATATAAAATTTGGATGGTATTATAGTTAACAGTTGACAAAGAAAACTAACACGATCAGATAGTTATCGATATCCAACCAACGTGATTTTTTACAAGTACGTAGTACTTGATGAGTTCTACACATTGAACGGTTCCGATTAGAAAAACGGGACCCGTGGTGGGTCCCCACCGGCCAAACAATACCATCCAATCAAAGCCCGAGAAGTAGACAATATTTTTTAATCTACTCACCCAGCCAGCCACCACTGCCATTGCGTACGGCTCCTACCCTATCTTCTCCTACACACTTATTTATGCAATTTTTTATTACACATTTTTTGCATAAAAAGTCAAAAAATTAACCCAAATATCCATATTTTTTTTCCAACTTATTAGTCTAAAAAGACAAAAAGTACACTTATTTAGGACACCCCAAACAACCCCTTACATTATCCAAAGTACG